GGGGGGGGGGGGTGCAGGAGGCAACCAATTGATGTGTCTCTCTCACATCAATGTCTCCCTCCCTCCCTCCTTTCCACTCTCTCTAAAAAAATCAATGGAAAAAATATGTTTGGGTAAGGATTAACAACAACAAAAAGCTACATACTATTTAAATTCACTTATATGGCACTCTGGAAAAGGCAAAACTAGAGAGACGGACAATAGAAGGTTGCAAGTGTTGGGATACAGAGGGATTTAACTACAAAGGTGACAAAACTGATCTTTATCCTGCTTGTGATGAGTTACAGGAATCTGTGCATGTGCCAAAATTCATACAAGTATACACCAAAAAGGTCAATTCACTGCACATAAATTTTAAAAATAATGAAAAAGGAAAAAAACAAGTACTTTCTAAATAACTCAACTACTATTTCTATTTTTTATTGAAATAAAGTGCCACCAAAACAAAATTTCCAAAAACAATAAAGTATATTACAATTAAAGAAACAGACTTTGGACTTTCATTTCCAGAAACAGTCCTGACTAGATGTTCAAAGAAACCCTCAAAATGCTTTTAAAAACTATATCAGAGCTTGTGGTAAAAGTACGGGAAATGAAAGGCAGAAACAAGTACAGGCAGCTCCCTTATCTGAAACCTCAAGGGCTGGTAATCTTTTCCAATTCAGAATGTGTATGTGTACCAAGGAAGTGCACTATATTTATATATACCGTATCAATACCCCAGTAGCATGTGGGAAAATACTCCATAATCAAACACATTCACATTTCTACAATAAGTTCATACCAGTTCAGGTCAAGTTTTGTTCATTTAAAAAATAACTTGTGGCAGTCAATGCTTTCTGGATTTCTGAACTGTAGGTAAGAAATTGTGGGGACCTGTAGAAACCAGTGCAAATCAACATGGGTAAAAGTGCAAGATAGGAAGGGTATTCACCTGAGAAAAACCACCAACTTCAAGAGACTTAGAGCTTGCAGTTTCAAAGACAGTTGCCCCAGGGGCCAAAAAGGGTAGAAGATTAAACCAAAGCAATGCCTAGGTAGTATATGGGAAATCTGTACCTTCCCCACAATTTGCTGTGAACACTAAACTGCTCTAAAAAAGACTTAATAGAAAAAAATTAGCAAATGAGAAAAAACAAAAAGAAAATCACCTACCCTTTGAAAACAAAGAACAAATAGGATAAAACACACAAAAGCTGTTAATTAGATTTCCAGAAGGTGGTAATTGAAAGACAAGAGTGCATAATTTCCAAATGGAGAAAAAAGAAAGGTGCTGTTGTGAAATGCCTGGGCTATAATTCTAGCTTCCCACTTACTATAAAACCTAGGGAAAGTTACTTAACCCTTCTAAGCCATGCTTTTCTCATGCAAAACAGAATAATAAAGCCTACCTCACAGAGGTGTTGTGGCTATTAAATGAAATCTAAGTGTAGCACTTAGCACAGAACTCAGTAAATGTCCCCTACTAGCAATTAAAATATAAATTAATCTGCACAGTACAGTAAAATTGTAATAAAATTAAGATAGCCAGGGCAGACTAAGCCTATCTGGATACTGCTTTGATTTCAAAATCCGTGGAACGATATGTAGGATGGTGCTTGACCCCTTTTCACTGGTTACTCTGCTACCATCCCCCTTCGCTACAGTTATCCCTTCTGCCCCTTCCTTATACACTGATCATACTCCAGGGCACTCTCCACATGCTCTCAAATCTGAAAGTGCGTATGGGAGAAAAATAAGCCCAATCCTTTTATTCTCCATCTCAAGTTCCACTTCTTACACTGATTTAAAAAAACAAAACAGGAGAAAGAGAAAGATGGAAATCACACACTTACTTTTCATTAGTTTTCCTGATAATTCCTTCAGTGGAGAAGAGAGACTATTTCTACTGGCTACTGTAAGTCTGGAGGAGGATTCTTGGGTTTCCATGGAAACTTGATGAGCTTCTCTTCTGGCCATTTCAAGATGGAGAGAATGGGCACTGTCACATTCCTCGGAAAGGAGCAAGTGATTCTGGGTGTTCCTAGTTCTATTATTCAGGTCAATTCCTTCTGACTGAGTCACAAGAAGTTGGGCTGAGCTAGAATCCTCTAATCTCTTGTCAAGAGACTCGGTTAGAAAAGGTGCTACAGTTTCTTGCTTTTTAGATGGAGAGACAGGCTCGACCAATGAGCTCTGCTTCACTGTGTTCAGACTGTGTGCTCTTATTCGGGACCAAGTTGTAGAGTGAAAACTTTCAGCTTCTAACCAAAACTTAACCAAATGCTCCATTCTCCGAAGTTCCATGAACTGAATGAAATAAGGGAGGACAATAGTGTCATGCAAGACTTGTTCGAGAGTCTTTGAAAGACTTGATTTGGCCTCTTGAATCTGGTAGTCCAGACAAGACCTGCCTAAAAAAAGCAAAAGAATTAGCAGTTCAGTGACAAATAGTTTACGATTGACAGATTAGTCAGGCACCTTTAGCATCAAAGTTCTTAAATAAAGTTTACCTCCTAGCAATTTAGATGAATAAACAATTAGCTATATTATGGCTTTGATTTCTAAACAAGCAAAGAAACAACTACCCAAAACTTACTTAAATTATTAAAAAGCTGTTACTCAAATAATCCTAATATATTTTCAGGGCAATTCAGACTGTTATCAGTGAAAGTGGGGTATCCCTTTCCCTAGTGGGTGCTAGGGGTTGGGGTCCCTATGATATCTCAAGAAAAAGAATTTTCGGAGACTTGCATGGGAGAATGAGTGATTTTTATTTGCCTGGAATAATATCTCTGGGTTTCCAAAGTCCCATTTCCCTTAATCCAGTCCTGGAAGATGTGCAGCTGGGGATTCAGCAGAGCTAGGAACAAACCCAACATCCAAAGTTTCCGTTCCATGGTGGAGTTCAGTCCTGTTTAGCATCAGGCTAGCTGCAGTCCATTAGTTTACATGACCAAGAGCCATGTGGGCAAATGCAGGGGAGTCAGGAGAGCAAGCCCCCTGCAACAAGAGTCCCAGAGTTCCAAAAACACAAGAGAGCAGGAGCACAAGAGAGCAATCTCCTTTGTTTAGGAGATTAAATATTTCGAATGTTCCTGCGCTTGCAGTGGCCAAGCCTACTCTGACCAATGACCTGTTCCCAGGTGTGAATGACAGACAAGTACCTTCCCTATGTCACCCACACTTTACTGGGCATGCATCTATCCTTTCCCTGTCCAGTCCCTTCCCCCAGAGATCTGTGGGGAACAGACCTGGGGAGTGCTAAAATGCAGCTTCCTGGCAAAGCTGCACAAATGCATGCCCATACTATCTGGCCTTCCCCCTGCTGCTTTCTAGTTATGAATAACTAGGTTTACTACTACGGTATCAAGATCATGTAAGTTCTTTTTTTAAAATCTTATGAGAAATAAGAATTAGCCTCTGGATGCTTTGAGACTATGTTTGATTTGCTTCTGGACCCAGGGCTTGGAAAAGCAGACCTCGTTGCTCATCTTGGTCCTTTCCAAACACACCCAGCCCCAGCAGAGGGAACCACAAGCTGTGGAGTGTGGAAAGCTTCACACAGGGCTCTCTAGGCCAGTAGCAAACAGTATCTGACATTGGACTGTACCAGAGGCCATCCAAAAGACTGGAGTCCTAGCAAATCTAACTAATACATAGAAACAAATCCAAACAGGCAGCCAAAATGGGGAGACAAAAAAACAAGCCCCAAATGAATCAACAAAAGAATTCTCCAGAAGAAGAAAGCTAAATGAAATGAGGATAAGCAATCTATCAGATAGAGAGTTCAGAATACTGATGTAAGGATGTTCAAAATGAGAAAAAAAATATGAAAACTATGAAGGAAATTAAGGACATAGCAGAAATAAAGAATACACTGGAAGGCATAAACAGCAGATTAGGGGAAGCTGAGGCGTGGATCAGCAAATTAGAAGACAGGGTAGAAGAAAATCACTCAAGTAATGATCCAAAAGGAAAAGACAATTTAAAAACAGGACAGTTTAAGGGAGCTGTGGGACAACATGAAATATAACAATATTGCATCATAGGAGTACCAGAAGGGGAAGGAAGTAAGCAAGGGATAGAGAACCTGTTTAAAGAAATATTGGCAGAAAACTTCCCTAACCTGGTCAAGAAAAAAGTCACACAAATTCAGGAGGCACAAAGAGAGTCCCAAGCAAGAAGACACATAATTAAAATGTCAAAAACTCAAAGCAAAGAGAGAATCTTAAAGGCAGCAAGAGAAAAGCAATCTGTTACCTACAAAAGAGCTCCCATAAGGCTGTCAGCTGACTTCTCATCAGAAACTCTATAGGCCAGAAGGGAATGGCATGAAGTATTCAAGGTAATGCAAAACAAGGATCTGAAACCAAGACTACTCTATCCAGCAAGGCTATCATTCAAAATAGATGGTGAAATAAAGAGCTTCCTAGACAAAAATAAAGGCTAAAGGAGTTTATCACCACCAAACCAGCATTGCAAGAAATGTTATAGGGGCTGCTGTAATAAGAAGTTGAAATAGAGAAAGAGAGAAACATAGGCATAAAGAAATAAAATGGCAATACGTAAGTACCTATCAATAATAACCTTCAATATAAATGGATTAAGTGCTTCAATCAAAAGACATAGGGTAGCTGAATGGATACGAAAACATGACCAAAATATATGCTGTCTACAAGAGCCCCACCTCAGAACAAAAAACTCAAACAGGCTGAAAAAAAACAAACCACTTCTGGAGGACTTTAAAGGAGAGATCGACAGCAATACAGTCACAGTAGGGGACTTTTAACACCCCACTGACTTTACTGGATAGATCTTACAAACAAAAAAATTCAACATGGAAACAGTGATTGTAAATGACACTCTAGATCCAATAGATTAATTGACATTTACAGAACATTTCATCCCAAAGCTGCAGATTATGCATTCTCCTCAAGTGCACATGGGACATTCTCAAAGATAGACAACAGGTTAGAACACAAAACTAGTCTCTACAAGTTCAAGAAGACTGAAATCATGTCAAGCATCTACTCAGATATTTACACCATGGAATACTATGCAGTTGCAAAAAAGAAGGATCCCTTACCCCTTGAGACAGCATGATGGGACCTGGAGAGTATTATGCTACTCGAACTAAGCCAGTTAGAGGAAGGCAAGTATCACATGATCTTACTCATATGTGGGGTCTAAAGAACAAAATAAACTGATGAACAAAATAGATTCAGAGACATATAAGCATGGAAGAGACTGATGAATCTCAGAGGGAAGGCAGAGGTGGGCGGGTAGCTGGGGAGAGAATAACCTAAGAACATATCTGCATATATGCATAACCCATGGACACAGACAACAGTGTGGTGAAGGTCTGGAAGGGTACTGGGTGGAGGTGATCAATGGGGGGAATAGGAGAACATTTGTAATACTTTCAACAATAAAGAGAAATTAAAACATTAAAAAAAAAAAAATCTTACATTATTTGTCCCAAAGAAAGAAAATAGGCCAATAAAAAATTTTTAAATATTCAACCTCATTAAAAATCCCAGAAAAGCAAATTAATACAAAATAACATTTTTGCCTTTCAAACTGTAAGATATTTTTTAAAAAAATATTAACAAGCGCTAACAAGGGCACAAAGAAATAGGAAGCACTCTCACCACTGATGATGAGAATATGAACTGGCAAAACCTTTGTGGAGGAGCCTTCAGTAACAGATAGCAAACCTTAGCAATCTGTGTGATTTTCAATCCAATAACTCCACTTCTAGGAACTTATCCTGAGGAACAACTGTGGATATGTGGATATAGCAAGGAAAGTATTATGAACTCTCAGTATTATTTAAAACAGAATAAAGAGTAGCTCTGGGGTTTTATCTTAAAAAATAAAACTAAAATGAATTAAAACAAATTTATTTTACATTTAACTAAATTTAAGTTATGATTATAATAACCACAGCTATTAGAAAACAAAAAATCAAATCTTGTTTTTTGTAATTTTCACAGGATAACAAAAGAGGTTCATTTTCATAAAATTAACTGATGGCTTCATCAATTTTTCCAAAGGGCTTTTCTTAACCCTTTTAGATTCAAATCATTTTCCCTGGGAGCACTTTACATGTCATCATCCTTGCTATCTTATTGTTAATGTTAACTAGTGCATCTTTGTAGACATCAGTTTCATGAACTTCAGGAAATCCTGATCCCCTGCAAGCCTTACAATTTTTCTTAATTAAGCTTTTAATTTTTGAGATATAGTAGAGTCATGTGCAGTTGTAAGAAACCTCCTGCGTATCTTTTATTTTATTTTTTTGCATTTTGCAGGGAGTGGGGAGAGAAAGTAGTTATTTTACACAATAGGGATTCTACTAAACATACTGCTATGTAACCTGCTTTTTTCACTTTAACATATCTTAGGCATTTCTCCATGTCTTTTTCAGACTTTAAATGGCTACACAGTATTCCAGAGTACTGGGTACACCAAAATTTGACTACTTCTCTATTAATGGGTATTTGTATGTTGTCCCTAATTATTTTGATAAATACTTCCAAATTACCTTCTAAAAATCTTCACCAATTTACACTTTCACTAAAAAGTGGCTATTTCTCTGCATCTACATTAACACTCAAATTATCAAACTTTAAATATTTACTTATTTTTTAATTTACTTTTATTTATTTTAATTTGCATTTCTCTAAGTATCAGTAAAATGAAGCATCTTTTTCAGTTAGGCCAAATGTATTTCTTCTTCTGGACATGGCCAATTTCTCTATTAGACATGCTTTATATTTTGTATTTAAACAAACAAAACACAGTGCTTCCATTACACTTAGAGCTGTTATTTTCACTTAAGTACATTCTTTTCAAAGCCCCTTCCAATTATACAGTTCAGTATCCTTTGGCAGGAATTTCACATATTATACTCAACTCCGCCCTCCGATTGTAAGTTGACAAAAAGTGACTGTCACTTACCCAAGTCACCAAAATGAGCGGCCTCCATGTGGCTTGGCTGCTTCTTAAGTGTTGCTGTCCTGCTACTTGAGGAGTCCATGTTGGCAGAAATGGCATTGATTGCAACATGACTTGGTCCTGCAGCCTCCAGCAAGGCATGATTTTTAGTGTTTCTTTGTGGGGAATGTACGGGTACTGAGGCTATAATTTTTCAAAAAATTGTTAAAAATTAAAATGTGACATTAAAAATTTGACATTGTTAAAATTAAAATTAAAACCATCTAAAAATCTCTCTTAAAGCCCTCTGTTTTCTCAAAAGAGGGCTTTAAGAGAACTTTAAAAGTTAAGATTTGTAACATCTCTCTTAAGTGAGCACACTCAACAAGCCTTAAGGGAAAGGTAAATCAAGCAGCAGGGAAATAGAAAAATATGCCCTACTGTTACTTATAATTCTCAAAATACTGTGCCAAAAATGAAACTTGAAAGAGAGATCTTTTTTCGAGACGTTCTACTGAGGATAGACAGTACCAAAGCCAGGAAACATTCTGAAAATGGACCCTTTTCAATTCCTTAATCCTTGCACCCAAGGAACAAAACTAAAATTGCAGAATAAAAGCTTAGAGGGAAAATTTTTTAGAAAAATACTCTTCAGAATACTTATTTTATGTTTTAATAGGGTAACAAAATGTCTCCATCTAAAAAAAACATTTCTGATCAATCTTCAAGCTGCTTTAAGAAAAATACATTTAACCCTGGCCAGTTTTGCTCAGTGGTTAGTGTCAGCCCATGGGCTGAAGGGTCCTGGGTTTGATTTCAGCCAAGGGTACATGCCTCGGTTGAAGAATCAATCCCCAGCCCTGGTCGGTGGGTGAGTGGAAGGCAATCAACTGATGCGTCTCTCTCACATCGATGTTTCTCTCTCTGCCCCCCTCAAACTCCCTTCCACTCTCTCTGAAAAGTAATGTAAAAAATATCCTCACATGAGGATTAAAAAAGAAAAAGAAAAATACATTTAAAAATTCACAAAATATATTTTCTTTACTAATAAGAAGAAATATTAATATCCTTTTGACTTTAGAATAAAGAGGTTACCAATGTGTTAATAAGAGTCAACTCAATATTACAATATTATAAAGTAACACTATGAACTTGTTGCTACAGCTGAATTAAAATTCTACCTATCCTATATATCCCATAAATATAAAATATCAAAGGCTCTTGCCCGGCCGGGCATGGCTCAGCGGGTGAAAGTCGACCTAGGATCCAGGCGATGGGGGTTGGATTCCCGGTCAGGGCACAGGCCTGGGTTGCGGGCTTGATCCCCAGTCGGGGGCGTGCAGGAGGCAGCCGGTCAATGACTCATCATTGATGTTTCTCTCTCTTCCTCTCCTTTCCTCTCTATGAAATCAATAAAGATATATTTAAAAAAAAAAAGTTGCCCCCCCCCCCAAAAAAAGACTCTTATTAAAGGTTTTTGATAAGTTTTGGTTTAGAACATTGCAATAGCAAGGATAGAAATGATACCGCTCACTTAAGCATTCCACACCCTCAAGATACTCTCAGATACTAACTTGTATCCATTAACACCACTTATTTTATTGAGCAGCTAGCAAACAGGTGCCCTCAATCTTAGTAAACAGTTACCAGACACAGAATCTGAGTAATACTGGGTAATAGTTCTTATGAAAAATAAAATACACAGTACTGTAATTTAATCTATTACTCCTTGAGATGTGTTTATAGAATAAAGCAGATAAAAACATGAATGTCCATGCCTGTTTTCCAGGTATCTATATTTATTGGTCATTCAACAAGAGTTGTGAGAATTATGCAATGAAGCTGTCTTCAAATGATTTTTTCAGTTATGTCAGAAATTCTAAGAACAGACTGTATACAGTCATAAACAAGAGTACAAGCCTGGTATAGATGGAGAAGTTAGCCAATCAATGACTCTCATCAATGATGTTTCTCTCTCTCTCCCCCTCTCCCTTCCTCTCTCTGAAATCAATAAAAACACATATTAAAAAAAAAAATCTAAATAAGTAGCAATCCACAGATTTCATGTAAATAAATTCCATTTATAAAATTTATATTTTGGCTATGGAAATAATTTCTATTATAATTTCCCCATTATAATCTTTGTACATTGACAGAATGAAATCAGTCAAAACTACAGCAGAGATTATAAACTAAGAATCTTATAAGTAGGGACAATATACTGATCCCAATAAAGTGCTCAGAATAAATTTCAAGTTAACGCCATTCATCCAAAGTAATGAAGTGAAAACTGTAACCACAGACGCAGGTGGACAAACAGAAAATTAAGCCTCGCAAGTGGCAGTGCTTTCGCTCAGTGGTCAGTTAAGAGTATTTTTTGCTTTCTGTTGTTTTAAAATAAGGTCAACTAACCCCTTTTAGGGAACAATCAAATGTGTGACTAATAAGGCAGGCCCTGGTTCCTCGTCACCACTGGAACAGCCAAAGGTGCTTAGTGAAAGCCTAGCATATGCTAGGTGTTGGGGTATATATAAGTTAAGCAGGGAAGTAAGTCAATTATAAATAATTCTTTAAAATGGCAAAAACAATCAATGGCAAAAGAAAGGAGAGGATAACAGAATTAAAGAGCTCATAAGTGCAAAGCACATCACTTCTTAATGCAATGGAATGCTGCTGAACTCACCTTTAACTGACTTGGCATCTGAGGTCTTGTCTTGTTCTTTGCCTTTCACTAGAAGAAAAAGAGCTTCATGACCCACCTTTACAATAAAAAAGATACATTCTATACATTGTAAAAATTAGAGGAGCTTTATTATAACAGATGGTATTCAGAGTTCTACGGCTTTATCCTAACAGACGCGTATTCAAAATTCTGCATCGAGACTGACTGGAGGAAGGGGTCAGGGAGTTGGGTAACCAGAAGTTTCTCTAAGGAAGTGACCTCTGAACAGCATTCAGTCAAGGACAGTGGGTGTGCTATGGAAAGAACCAGAATACCTGGGTCCAAATTCTGGCTCTGCCACCTATTAACTATGTGATCACAGACAAGTTACTTTGCTCCTCTGGATCTCAATTTCACTGATTTATAAAATTAGGTCAGTGATAATATCTACTGTAGAGGGTTGTGGATGAAAAAATAAATGCTTGTAAAGGGCTTAGAGGAGTAACCACCACACATCCTAAATTTAGGATGTTGGCAAATATTATTACCATGTACACCCACTACTAGATGCACACTGAAGGAAGAGTTCTTTGGTTGTGTATCTTATTTGTGTATTCCTCCTATAGCATTAAATACAAACCATTCTAAACTTCTAATATTCAGGGCTTAACAACTTGTTTCTTAAAAAATTATATCATCTCTCTTCTATCACACAGAACAGTGGGAACTCTACTGCAGATACACTAACAATATTTTCAGAAAGGAAGGTGCATGGCAGCCTAAGCCAAGTGTGAACACTTAGAGGACCTAATATAAGACTATTTTTAACCTTCCTTACTTTTGTTTTTCCAACATTAAATATTCTTTACCTCACTATGAAAAGCCTATAAAAATAAATCCCAAAATGTAATCATCTATTTGTGCTCTTAAACATTAGAGGCTAGTAGCAGGAAATAACTAGCTCTCATAGTATCTGATAAATCAATCCATCAACAAATATTTGAGTACCAGATACTACTGAGTACCTATTATGTACCAGATACTTGCGTGGCTCAGAAAAGATAGTCCTGCCTTCAAGAAATCCACATGTGCCCTGGCCAGTGTTGCTCAGTGGTTAGAGCATCAGGCGGAGCACCGAAGGGTTAGAGGTTCAATTCCCGGTCAAGGGCAAGTACCTGGGTTACCGGTTCACTCGTTGCCCATTTGGTGCCTGGGCGGGAGGCAATGGTTTGATGTGTCTCTCTCACATCGATGTTCCTCTCTTTCTCTCTATCCCCCTTCCCACCTTCCCTTCCTCCCTTCCACTCTCTCTGAAAAAGCAATGGAAAAAATATCCTCAAGTGAGGAGATTAACAACAACAACAAAAATAAGTCTGCATGCAAGTATGTGGAGACAAACATGAACAAAAATAAGGTTAAGATCATTTCAGATACTGATCACTGCTGTCAGGCTGAGAGAGGCTGAGAGATACTGATCACTGCAGAGGGAAAGTTGGAAGCCAGCAGAGGTTGGTTTATGAGGTTTGAGGAAAGAAGCCATCTCCATAACACAGAAGGGCAAGGTGAGCAGCAAATGCTCATGTAGAAGATGCGGCAGGTTATCCAGAAGATCTAGCTAAGATGATTAATGAAGGTGGCTGCACTCAACAACATATTTCAAAATAGCCTTATCTTGGAAGAAGATGCCATCTAGGACTTTCATAACCAGAGAGAAGTCAATGCCTTGCTTCAAAGGACAGGCTGACTCTCTTGTTAGGGGATAATGCAGCTGGTGACTTTAAGTTGAAGCCAATGCTCATTTTCCATTCCAAAAATCCTAGGACTCTTAATAATTATGCTAAATCTACTCTGCCTGTAATGGAACAACAAAGCCTGGATGACAGCACTTCTGTTTATAACATGGTTTACTGAACCTTTTAAGCCCACTGGTGAGACTTCTGCTCAGACAAAATTGCTTTCAAAATATTACAGTAAACCCTCAATTCTGCAGACCTCAATTTAATGGACTTTGGATTTAACGGAAAAAATTTCCAGTCCATATGTCATATGTGAAAATTAACACCCTGTTAATTTTTAAATGCTTTTAACCAAGATTTGCTTAAAATTAGCAGGGTATCTTTTTTATTAATTGTTATTTTTAACAAATTTTAGTAAATAGGTCACATGTTGGAAAAAACACTGTAATAATTTCGCTGCCATAAGTAAATTTACATATCTACAACTATAAACAATGTTCGGCAAATGATTAGCACATGGTCACACTGCATAGCAAGAAGTAATTGGTTCTGTTGTCATGTGGCACCTAGCCATGTGCACGTGTTTACTGGAGGTGACTGGTGAATGCACACTTACTAGATGTATTCGGTATAAATTTAAAATTACAGCAATACATATAGAAGGCTTTTCTGTGAAATTAAACTTCTCATACATACTTAATTTTAATTACACAAATGTGTCTGCATAAGTAAAAACAGGTAAATTAACTAATCTGTCAATTTCTTAAAATATACATTCAGAAAACCTTTATTATGTAACAGATTTTCAGCTCTAACGGACACACCCCTCGCCCAAATTAGTCCATTATATCGAGGTTTTACTGTTCTGCTCACTGACAAGGCACCTGGTCACCCAAGGGCTCTGATGGAGATGTACAATAAGATTAGTGTTGTTTTCATGACTGCTAACACAACACTCAGCCCATGGATCAAGGAGTAATTTCTACTTTCAAGTCTTATTATTTAAGAAATACATTTTGTAACACAATAGCTGCCAAAGTAAATTGAAAATCTTCTGGAAATGATTTACCATTCTAGAACATTTGTGATTCATGGGAAGAGGTCAACATAGCAACTTAACAGGAGTTTGGGAGGTGATTCCAGCCCTCATGGATGACTCTGAGGGGTTCAAGACGTCAGTGGAGGAAGTAACTGCACATGTGATGGAAATAGCAAGAGAACGAGAATTAGAAGTGAAGCCTGAAGACGTGTGGCTGAATTGCTGCCATCTCATGATAAAACTTTAACAGATGAGGAGCTGCTTCTTATGGATGAGCAAAGAAAGTGGTTTCTTGAGATGGAATCTACTCCTGGTGAAGATGCTGTGGAAAACTTTTGAAATGACAACAAAGGATTTAGAACATCACATAAACTTAGTTGCTATAGCAGTATCAGGGTTTGAGAGGACTGACTCCAGTTTTGAAAGAAGTTCTACTGGGGGTAAAATGCTATCAAACAGCACTGTGTGCTTCAGAGAAATCATTCATGAAAGGAAGAGCCAATTGGTGTGACAAACTTCATTGTTGTCATACAGGCACCACCACCCTGATCAGGCAGCACCCACCATCATCAAGGCAAGACCCTCCACTAACTCAGATAACGGATAGCATTTTTTAGCAATAAAGTATTTTTAGTTAAGGTATGTACATTGTTTTTTAAACATAATGCTATTGCTTGCACACTTCATAAACTATAGCATAAAGGTAACTTTTATATGTACTGGGAAACCAAGATATTCATGTGACTCACTATTATATTTGCTTTATTGCAGTGGTCTGGAACCAAACCCATAACATCTCTGAAGCATGCTTATATTCTTTAACACATATCTTATACTTGTATTCATATAATAATTCAACATTTGTCTATATTGATGCAATTCTTGTTTTCATGTAGCTCTAGTTCATTTTATCTGCTTACTTCCTTTAAATAAATATAGCTTTATTTACCTATTTTCCTGTTAAGTAACATTTAGGTTTCATTTTCTAGTTTTCACAAACACTGAACATTCTAGTGCATGTCTTCCTATGTCTATATGTAAGAATTTCTCTAGGTTAAATCCCTAGAGAAACTGCTAGGTAACAAATTATACTTCATAGTCACATCCTTGGTACTTTTAATTTTTGCCAAATTAATAGATTTCAAATGGTATTTGATGGTGTTTTTAATTCATTTCCTTGATTTCCTTTAATGTAACATCCTTCTATCTTGGCTATTCAGGTTTCCTTTTACGGACTGCCTATTCATGTTCTTTGTCTTTTACTTATTATTTGTAGAAATCCCATACACATTCTGGATACTAATCCTTTGTTATCTGCATTGCAAATACCTTAAGTATATTTTATTGTATGAGTTTTAAAAATTTTAATGTAGTCAAATTTATATTATGTAGATTGTATTTTCCTGTCTTATTTTTAAAACATTCTTTCCTGCCCCAAGATCAGATCCCA